TGTCATTCACTGATACTGTCAATCACAAGTTCTGCTGTGTATCGAGATTTCTCATTGGTGCCTCTAGTATTTCACATCCCCTATGCCTTTGCCATTCCCATCTCAGCAATCACACCCACCACAGATCCTCACATAGAATCTTTACATTTTCCATACATCTAATTTCTGAGCTTTCCATTTCCAAAAGCTATTTTGTTCTCTTTAAGCACAACAACAGTTTGCTCCAAATCTACCTATAAAGACTTCCCAGAGCCTACGTAAGGTTTTATAGATATCTATCTATTCCTGTATACCGTGAGGTTATTTTATGTGCAGTGAAATGCTATCTTCAATCTTGAAAGGGTGAGTATGTATTCAAATCAGCCCCCCCATTAAAATCTACTTTTAACATGTAAATATAAAACCTTCTAACTCTTAGTCCACTGAGAAGTTAAAATATTCCAACACATTCAACATGATTTATACTAGCACTGGTTTTTAGAAGCATTGAATATATTTTAGGGAAGAAAGTATGTTTAAATATCTCAAAAAAATCTGTAAATCAGACCACCCACAAACCTGAAGTAAAAAGGGATACATTATACCTCTTCCATTTTAATCAGGAAATAGTCAACAAAGTTCTCAGGGTTATTGGGATCCAGCAATTTTTGATGTTCTTTTATTTTCTTCAAAATAATTGAATTGTTTATCAACAATTTCAAAGAGCCTCCTATGACTTCCTGGGAGATAATGTAAAATAGGAAATGTAATGTAGAGTTGGAAAAAAAGAGGAGGGGGGGATATTCATGAATTCATTGTATAGTTGAAAGAAGAAAGAATATTTATGAACTGATTTGGAAATATTTAAGGACCCTTGCTAGTTATCAAACACTCCTTCTATACACTGAGAAAAACTAAATGCGACATATCTGTTGTAATAAAATATACTTGGAGTTTGAAGGAGAGAACACTGACAAAATGATCGCCTGTCCTTTGCACAGGCTACAAAGCAACTTCAGAACCACTTGGATGGATTTTTCTGGTCACAAGGAATTTAGTCTATTATCACCACTTCCCTGATTAGAATGTAAAGGTTAACAATTCTAAGACACTGAAACCAGTGATACCCACACTAAAAGCCAGTTTATAAAGTCCTCTGGTTGAAGTTAAAAACAATTTTAGCCAGGCATGATAGCTTATACTTACAATGTCAGCACTGGGAGGCTGAGGCAAGAGGATCGGGAATATAAGACCACTCCCACTCTAACTCAATACTCTGTCTCAAAGAATGACTAATTCTGAAGGCTGTGCAGCTAACCCATGTAAGTTAGCTTTCCACTGGTGGTGAGTATGGGACTTCTTTGATGTGGACTGCCTCCAGGGTTAAAGTTGATCTAAGAAATTTTGTTTTTGCTCCCTCCACACCTGTTCTGTACTTGAAAGGTTAACTAGAGCAGAATTCTTACAGTGATGTTTTCCTAGTCTATTTTGTCTTATGCTACCTGCCAGTAGATTTGTCTCTACTAATTTCCTGTTTAAAAGCTCTACTTCTTTTTTCTCCATTGTGATAAAATCTAAATAAAAGTGATTTTCATGTGTTTATTTGTTTATTCACATATTTGTTTTAGAACTCCAAAGCCTCCTGGCTGTCTTCAGTGTAGCTGGGATTTCTGGTGAAGCTTTACCTTCTGCTACAAAACATCTTTTAAAGGACTGAGATCCTCAGTCCAGAATCAGATACAGCATGAAAGGGAATAAGAAAAACACTAGACCCTAAGACTTCTAATCTGTAACCTTTCTTTAGTTCTTTTTTAGAACCAAGAATTTCTGATGGTCTTCACATAATATCAATTTGTGTCTGAGGACTTACTGATACTGTTCTTTAACAGTATAATATTTAATTTACAGGAAGCAAAAATGTTCTAGACAGTTATAAAGACATGTCTAGAAAACAAAGGTGAGTTTTTAACACAATTATATTTCATCAAAAGGAAAAAAAAGAGGGTGTGTGATTAGGAACATGGTTCACAGGATAAAGTGCTACCATAGCAACATGAAACCCTAAGTTAAAACCCCAGGATCATTTTTTTAAAGGAATAAAAAAAGCACACAGCCTTCTCAACTATGCCCCCCACTAGCTCCATACTCCCTCTTCAACCTTTCCATACACACATGTATTGCCTAAAATGCTTTTTTTTTCTGTCATGGGGCCTGGGTGCTGTCCCCTAGCTGTTTTGCTCAAAGCTAGCACTCAATTGCACAGAGCTCCACTTCCAGTTTTCTGGTGGTTAATTGGAGTTAAAAGTCTCATGGATTTTTCTGCCCAGACTAGCTTCAAACTGTGATCCTCAGATCTCAGCCTTCTGAATAGCTAGGATGACAAGCATGAGACACTAGTGCCTAGCTAAAATGCTTTCCTCAGTCAAAGGTGATAGTTTTATGTCTTCTCAGGGTTCCTGCCCTTGAGTAACCCAGATTTCCTTCCCTGCAGCCTTCATTCTCTGGAGTAGTATGTTGTGAGCTGTGCACAGGTCTTGGGTCCAAGAACAAGTTTCTGTGCACACAACTGGACCTTACCTGTACCCAGAGAGTGCTTGAGATTTTGAAATTTTCATGGAAATAGCTAATCAAGGTTTAGAATTCCAGATCACTGTAATCAGAACAATTTTTGAAAATGATAGAAGAGATCACATTTCAGGGAACCCAGGACAGAAAGAAGGTAGGATCACAGGGAGATTCTAAGAGCAATAACAGTCCAATGTTAATACACAATTTTCATACCAGTCTTAAATTTACTACTTAAGTATTTTATATTAGTAGTTGCAAAAAAAAAAGGAAAATACCCAATCTGGTGAGTTAAGTAATATTGACTCAAAAGCACAGTGGGAACTCACCATAGAGAAAAAAATTAATTTTATGAAGATATTTAAAAACTGGTATTACAAAACCACATATCGTATCTTGTGATCCTGACCTTAGCTCATCCTGACTTCCTGTCTGGTCTTTCTCCTAGTCCATCTCCAGGCCCACATGTGCACGTCTACATCTGCGTATTGAGATTTGTGCAGTGGCAACCACTAAGCTTCACATCCACACCCTTAGATGGGAGGTGAGTTACACAGGAAAGATTTGGTTGTCTCTGTATTGAGTCTAAGCCATCTGTCATTGTCCACTCAATATGGCCAAGACTGCTTGCTGATGACTACAGTCCATAGTCTTACCCTCTTTCCATATGCATACATATTTACATTTTCCAGATCCTCTTGCAATTAGGTGGGGCCCTATACTAAGAATAGTCCATGGGATGCACAAGACATTTTCTTGTGTTTCACTTCTTTCCATGGTCTTTTCTCTTTCCACCCACCACAAAAAGTGAGATAAACAGGTGACCGTCAATCTGGTTTCCTGAAAAGAATGTTATGCTGTCTGCTTCATCTCTTTGTACTGTTACATGAGCAAAGGTACACTACTCTTTCTTGTGAGGCTTTCTATACTGAAATGTTGGTAAGTACAGAAAATACATTTAATTTTATTTACCACAGGGATATTTATCCAATATAAAAGAAATCAACTTTTAGAATCAGTAATATAAAAAGAAAATACATACAAAGGGTTAAAATTGTCATCCTGCTATTAGTAATATTGCTATTACCATTACTGAGATCCTTCTACATGACAAAATCTGTATTATGGAATTGTCTATTTTTTTTGGTGGTCATGGGGCCTGAACTCTGGGTCTGGGTGCTGTCCCTCAGCTCTTCAGCTCAAGGCTAGCGCTCTACCACTTGAGCCACAGCACCACTTCTGGGTTTCTTTGGTTAAATGAAGATAAGAGTCTCACAGATTTTCCTGCCTGGGCTGGCTTTGAACTGTGATCTTCAGATCTCAGCCTCTTGAGTAGCAAAGATTACAGGCATGAGCCACCAGTGCCCGACTCACAGATCCCTTTTGCATGACCAAAAGACACATCAGAACTGAAGCCACCATACATTGGGGTATTATCTGTATTTGATCTATTTACATTTTGGAGCTGGCTTTGAACTTTTCAGTCAGCTCAGAGAATACTGTGAAGGAAGAAAAAATCCCTTATCTCTGCTTCTGAGAAACCCAGTGATGACCATCTCCAAGAATAAATAAATCAAATACAAATACAAATTTTCTCTGACCATAAAGGAAAAACATATTAAAACAACACTGAGATTACATCTCCTCAGCAAGGATGGTCACTGTCAAGAATATGAACAATCAACAGTAACAAATGCTGGTGGGAATTAGGAAGGGGAGGGAACTCTAATACACTGTGTAATAGGAAAATGCAAATATGCCTTTTCTTTATGGCCACAGAAATTCTTTTTTTTTTTTTTTGTTGGTCATGGGGCTTGAACTTTGGGCTTGGGCGCTATCCCTCAGCTCTTCAGCTCAAGGCTAGTGCTCTACCACTTGAGCCACACCGCCACTTCCGGTTTTCTAGTGGTTTATTGGAGATGAGTCTCACAGACTTTCCTGCCGGGGCTGGCTTTGAACCACGATCCTCAGATCTCAGCCTCCTGAGTAGCTGGGATTACAGGCATGAGCCACCGGCTCCTGGCTAGAAATTCATTTTTCTTTGTTTTGCTTGTGTGTTTGTTTTCCAGATTGCCCTAGGCCATGGGGCCCACACCCAATCAGCCACCAGCTCTCAGGGAAGAACTCTGTAGCACTACTAGCCTTCCCTTCTGATCTTATCTGCTCAGACCCTCATGGGCAGTGTGGGCAGTGGAGGAATGGGTGGGTTATAGGAAAGTTTGACAGCCCTCATGCATTGCTGGACAATTCAAATTTTACTTCATGTGGCCCCCTCTGGATAGAATTATCTTTCCTTTTTTTCTGTGCACACATACACAAAACAACACACATACCTACCTATACAGCCATCAGCAAGTGTATCATACATGTGTACACACAATTATATTGTAATAGACCCCAGAGATAATTGTCTACATGAAAAACTATCAAGAGATTATTCATGAGATACATAGGAGTAAAATGAGCCATGTTCACATTTTATTCTGAACATTTTTTTAAGTAGGAACAGTTTCTACTAAAATAAAGCATTACATATCACGTGCTTTCCATTTAGTATATATTACAAGTATACTATAGTCTGTGGCCTAAGTATCCTGTTGCTTAGTGATTTTATTGGAGACAAAGCAGTGAAATTTATTTTTGACAAAGGAAAATTTGAACTAGATCATAAAGGATGGGGCAATTAGAAGAAGCAGGGTTCAGGGGTGGCATTTCTGCTTAGACAAGGGTGCAGGATGGATGGAACACAGGCAAGGAGACACTTGCCCATTGGGAGACAGCTATGACTCCCACTCAACTGTCTGGCTGCCTGCCCTTTCTTCAAACCGGAATGAAACAAAGCTCATAGAGTGGGGGTACAGAGCCGATCCCAATTGCAGCTGGTGAGGTGTCAATGTCCTGTGGGTCAACCAGAGATTTCAAGGTAAAATTCTGTAGAATGTGTGTCAGGACTAAAAACAGCTCCATACGGGCCAGGCTCTCTCCAAGACAAACTGGTTTCCCTAAAAAAAAAAAAAAAGACATACAAATTGACTAGTTATTTAGTTCATATTCTTAGCACACAGGGAGTCTAAAATAAATTGGGGAATAACAAATATATTAATGAATGATTAACCCACAACTTCTATTTATGTGTAAACCTGATTTCCTCCCTTTCCTCAACAGAAAGTTCTGTGTTCATGCTTTATGGGGGAAAAAAATTTCTCTACAACCCAATTTATCTACTATTCTAAGGCTTCTGTAACAACTTCCTGTAAACACACACACACACACACCTATTCCCACTGACATGATACATGACTACGTACTTTTCATTTACCCCTGAGCCAGATCTCTACAGATTTATTTCTCCTCATCTAGAGTCTAAGAGATAAGATCAATTTCACTGACTATCTGTTCTAGTTTTTATCCAGAGCATACTTTTGCCAAGTATAAAAAGAAATGTATCCAGGTACTCGTAGCTCACACCTGTAATCCAAGTTATTCAGGAAGCTGAAATCTGAGGATCACAGTTCAAAGACAGCCTGGACAGGAGAGACTCTTTATCTCCAATTAACCACCAGAAAAATGGAAATAAGGGGGCTGGGAAGGTGGCTCAGTGGTATAGTGCTTGCCGTGCATGAGGCCCTGGGTTTGATTCCTCAGTACCACATAAGCAGAAAAAGATGGAAGTGGCACTGTGGCTCAAGTGGTAGAACGCTAGCCTTGAGCTGAAGAGCTGACAGTGCTCAGGCCCAGAGTTCAGGCCCCACAACCAACAAGAAGGAAAGAAGGAAAGAAAGAAAGAAAGAAAGAAAGAAAGAAAGAAAGAAAGAAAGAAAGAAAGAAAGAAAGAAAGAAAGAAAGAAAGAAAGAAAGAAAGAAAGAAAGAAAGAAAGAAAGAAAGAAAGAAAGAAAGAAAGAAAGAAAGAAAGAAAGAAAGAAAGAAAGAAAGAAAGAAAGAAAGGAAGGAAGGAAGGAAAGAGAAAGAAAAATGGAAGTGACTCTGTGGGTCAAAGTGGTAGATTACTACCTTGAGTAAAAGAGCTTAGGGACAGTGCCTAGACCTTGAGATCAAGCCCCATGACCAACAAAAAGAGGGAGGAGGAGGAGGAGGAGGAGGAGGATCGCAATTCAAAGCTAGCTGGGGCAGGAAAAAAGGGCCATGAGACCCTTACCTCCAATAAACTACTCAAAAAAACCAGAAGTGGAGCTGTGGTAATGAGCTCTCCTTGAGTAAAAGAAACTCAGGGACAACGCCAGAGTTTAAGCCCTAGGACTGGCAAAAAAGAGAGAGGGAAAAAAAAAACTTCATCTGCCTCACAGACTGAATACAAGCTCTTAAGGTAATGATACTCCAGTGCCAGGACAACACAGGACTGCACAATATGTGCGATAAATAGAAATTTCAAACCATGGTGGAGTCCAAACTACAGGCAGAAAGACTGCAAGTAGGAAATCAAGGAGTGGCTTTGAGTTTTGCACAGCACGTTGGAAGCACAGCACCAAGGGTCATATTATACACATTGTCTTAGACAAACGAGCAGGAGCAAATCTTATCTCTGCCCTGTGTTAAGTTACTCTGCTTCCTGCTTTCCTTGGGATGTGCTAAATATTCATTTCTTTCTCTTTCTACATCTATTCTGCGTTGTTAATGTTCTTTATGCCTACCTGTTCCCAGAAAACTAATTTCCCTGGGTTGCATTAACCCTTGAGTTAGATTCTTCCAGGTTCTCCATGAACTCAGAGGATGAGGTATTGAAAAAAATCAGAGTCACAGCTTGGACAAAGGCTGCATAATTGTACCAGTACCTGCATTTTCAGTTGAGCTGAAAGTCCATTGGCATTCCAGCAGCACCCCCTTTTGCCTTGGGTCTCCCTTTCTGTTCTAGATGCTTCTGGCATCTGCCTGCTGATGCGCGTACTCACCATTTCACTTTATTACTTCCCTAATCCTGTTGGCCCTCTTGAAAACATGTTCCCCTGAAATTATCTAATTCATCTATTGAATGCAAGACTTAATTATTTCCAAGGATGCTTACAAATTGAGTGAAATACTTATGTGCAACAATGTCCCTTAGCCTTCCACTACTCTGCCCTTGACTCTCCAAAGACTAGGTAAAGGTGCTTCTCTCTTCGAGTTTCCACAGCAGCCTTCAGCTCAGCATGCATCACATCTCAGTCTCCTTGGATGTTCATTTGTCTCACTTAGAAGGGAAATCTGTTTATTATTCATATTTGAATCTTGGGATCTGGCATGGGATAAAATCCCATAAAAGGTGCTCAGTAAGTTTAAGTGATCTGATTTAAGGTTCTTGAGAAAAGCATCAGTAGAACTGGATGTCTAGGAGAGACTCGTAGGAATCCTGGGAAGGGACCCAAGGAGAAACAATCTAGAACTTGGGAGTTGTGCCTCTGGCCTCCTAGAAATGGCAGTTTATCAAGCCCAGAGGGCCTTCATGCAAAGCACTCATTAACTCCTGGTACACTGGTGGCAGGGAAGCTCGCTTACCTGCTGGAAATGCCATGAAGGGGGCACTCTTCTGAAAGTTACCACTTGCATCTAGAAAGTGGCTGGGGTCAAACTGCTCTGGATTGGGAAATGCTTTCTCATCATGCAGGACAGAATTCAGAGATGTTAAGATTTTTGTGCCCTGATAGAAAGGAAATGGATACATCAAATTATAAAAGACATCATAAGGGGCTGGGAAGGTGGCTCAATGGTACAGTGCTTCCCTTGCATGCATGAGGCCCTGGGTTCGATTCCTCAGCCCCACATAAGCAGAAAAAGCCAGATGTGGGGCTGATGCTCAAGTGGTAGAGTGCTAGCCTTCAGCTGAATAGCTGAGGAACAGTACCCAGGACCAGAGTTCAGGCCCTGTGGCCAGCAAAAATTAAAATTAAAAAAAATAAAGGACATCATAAAACTTTAAAAAAATAGACCCATGTCAACTAAGCCTTTTGTTTTGTTGATGAAGAGATTGAAGCACAAAAAGGAGAATTTATTTGCTATGTCACAGAAATAATTAATGGCCAAGATGAACGGGTCTTAAGTCTAAAGTCTGACACCTGCACTTAATCTACAGAAAACAAAGGAAGCTACCTAGCATGCATTGCTCTTGACAGATCAATTGCAATATAATCTAACAAGGACAATGTCACTGTCCTTAAAAACTAGGAATACAATGGACATACTTCAACATAAACTTATAGATAGCATTGTACTAAATGGAAATAAAGCACTTTCTCTTAAGTGCTTAAAGAATGAGACAGAAGTGTCTACTTTTCCATTCTTTTTTTTGTTTTGTATTGTATTGTCTTTTTGTCATTTATGGGGCTTGAACTGAGGGCCTGGGTAATGTCTCTGAGCTCTTTTGCTCAAGGCTAGTGTTCTACCACTTTAAAACTGCTCCACGTCCAGTTTTCTGGTGCTTAATTGGAGATAAGAGTCTCACAGACTTTCCTGCCCTGGCTGGCTTTGAACCGTGATCTTCAGATCTCAGCCTCCTGAGTAGCTAATATTACAGATGTAATCCACCAGTGCCTGGCCACTTTTCCACTCTTATTCAATTTAGTGAATGAATTTCTAGCCAGAGCAATAAGCCAAGAAAGAAATAAAGAAAACACAAATAGAAAAGGAAGAAGTCAAAATTTCCCTGTTTGTATATGTTATTATCTTATTCTTAAAAGACTCTAAGTATTCTACCAAAAGATTCTTATATCTGATGAATGTATTTGGAAAAATACATTCCAGGATACAAAAATCAACATTCAAAAACCAGTAGTTTGTCTATAAACCAACAATAAACAGACTAAGAAAGAAATCAGGAAAACAAAAGTCTAACAAAAGAGGTAAACGATTTCTACCACAGACTGGGAGAAAACATTTGCCAGTTATTCAGTTACAAAGAATTCATAACCAGAATATATAAACAACTCTAAGCTGGGCATTCATGGCTCATGATTGTACTCCTAGCTACTCAGGAGCCTGAGATCTGTGGATTACATTTTAAAACCAAGGAAGGAAAAACTGTAAGAATCTTATCTCTAATTAAACACCAAAAAACCCAGAAGAGGAGCTGTCGCTCAAGGAGTACAACACTAGCCTTAAGCAAATTAAAAAAAAAAAAAACCTCAGAGATAGCACACAGTTCCTGAGTTTAAGTCCTAGGGTCAAAATAATAAAATAAAATAAAACCAACAGTAACAGAAAAAATTCCAAAAATTAAACACTAAACTAAATTACACACTCAATTTATAGACAGACAAATAATAGTTTCCAAAGAAGATAAATGGCCAATAAAAGCATGAAGAGGTACTGAAGATCTTTTTTCTTTTTTTGGTGGTTCTAGGGATTAAACTAGGGGCTTCATGCTTGCTAGGCTAGAGGTTTATCATTTGAGTAACATCTATAGTCCTGCTTTTTGCTGATTATTTTGGAGTCTAGCCTCAAATCATGATCCTTCAAATTAGTCTCTTGAGCAGCTAAGATTACAAATACAAGCCACAGCCACTTTAGTAATTAAGGAAATGTAAATCAAAATGATATTGAGCTTTGCTCCTATCCCAGTCAGAATGTATATCTTCAAGAATATGAACAACAAATGCTGGTGCAAATGTAGGGGAAATGCAACCTGAGATCTTTTTAGTTGAATGTGAACTAGTGCCGCCACTACAGGAATCAGCATGGAGTTCCTCCAAAACCCTAAAAATACAACTACCATGTGATCTTTTTATACCACTCCTGGACATTTATTATACCACTCCCGAGTTGTAACATCATTATTCATAATAGCTAGACTTCAAAGCCAGCCTAGATGCTCACAAAATGATGAATGGATAAAAGAGACTGTGTGGTATGTGTGTATATATGTTTATGTATTGAATCCATGTAAAATGGAATTATGTTATTTTCAGGAAAAAAGGAGATGGAAATAATCATGTTAAGCAAAGTACGTCATAAAGGTAAATATTACATGTTTACTCAAGAAGGTAAACATGTTTACTCTCATATGTAGAATATAGACCTAAAACAATCAGATTAAAACAAAAATAAGGACATGAATTTAGAAAGGGGCTATTAGGGAAGCCATTGGGAGGAGGAAGTACAAAAGGAAAGGATGATGAAGGTACAAATATTATCATATGATATATTAGCACATACATATGTAGAGTAGTGAAACACTAAAAATTGCAAATAAATAAATAAGTGCACTGGAGGGAAAAAGAAATGAAAAATGTGACTATTTTAGAGAGATCCTTGGAAAAGAGAGATATAAAGGAGCCATGACACAGGTAGAAAAGTTACGTTTAGATAAAAGAAAGTCCGTCCACAAGGAGACAAGAAACAGAATTGTGTAAGTATAGCTAAGTATGTAAATCTAGAGGAAGAGAAGGACAGATTGCCTGAGGAAAAGAAACTGGTGGTAAGATAGAACTTTGAGGAGGGTTTCGGGTTGAAAGAGTCATTGTTGTATATCATGAAGTACATTGAGTTAGACTAAAAACTATTGCTGCAGGAAAGTGGACAGCAAAAGACGCTAATGAACAGACCAAGTGAGACGTTCTTAAAGTACTGAAGTCTGTACGAATCTAAGTACCATTAGATTTGGGAAATTGAACCAACAAACTAGAAGGTAGTGGTAGTGGGTAAGATGTCTGAGTTATGGCTGCACCATACCTGTAAAGTGTCAGAAAAATCTATCATTGTACTTCCATGATCATTGACAGCCTGGGATTCCTTCGACTATAGATTGAATATTTCTTACCTTTGGGATAAAGAAGTCTCTAAACTGAATGTCCTTAGTCACCACATGGGGCATGTTGATGGGGAGGATGTCAATATATCTCTGGATCTCATGTACCACAGCATCCGTGTAGGGCATGCTGCTCCTGTCCTGCATGGAGGGGCTGCGGTGCCTGCCAATCACACGTGGGATCTCTTCATGGATTTTAACTGGCCAGGAAGGAATCAGAATGTATATGGAAAGAATTATCTTCTACATAATCTCTTAATCATTATCATGTTGTGATAGGAGGTGGGGAGATAGAAAAATTGTCACTTTCTCCATAGGGAAAAAGGAGTTTGTCTTCTGGATAAATTAGAAGCTCATGAGAAAGCTAATCTGTGTATACACACCACACACACACACACACACACACACACATGTATATATAGTGATATATATAGTAAGTTTTATATATATATATATAGTTCTATAAGGTATATATCGTACTATATATATTCCTTACTATATTATAGTATATAGTATATATAGAACTATATATAAATACTATATATAGTATAATATACTATAATTATATAGTATTATAATATATAATAACATTATATATTATATAGATTATTAATATATTATATATAGTACTAACATGCTATTAAACCTATTTCTCAACTTTACTTCTTAATTCGTCAAGTTTTGCTCAGCAGCTTCAGAAATCTGGAATCTGTATATCACTGAAGACTCTGTAATATAACCACTTTGTCTATGCCAGTTTGTTAAAAGTATGAAAATTCTAAGAAAGTGCCACCTGTGTTAAATTCTTAATAAATAACAACAAAAATAGATGTTTACTTGTTTAGCATAGGAGAAGAAGGTAACATTTATTTAGAATGTAATGTATGACTGATCTACCATATATTCATTATTTTACTGTTCTTCAAAATAGTTCAAGGGATTAAGTATTATTTTGTGTAGCTTAAAACTAAACTAGTTCAGAGACTATGATCCCTTAGCACACTGGGTGATATGTGGCCTTGAGAGACATGGCAAGGCAGTCAGAGGATGGAGGTGACATGGCTGCTTGCTAGAAGACTCGGAATCTGAAGTCATTACTATTGAAATCTGTAACTACATGTTGCTACTGCCTTAGATCAAGTAGTATTTTTCTACTACCCAAAGAATGTGACTTTGTAATGGAGCTTATGAAAATTCTATGTTTGACAGCTATAAAGAAAAAATCATCCGGGTATCAGTGGCTCATACCTGTAATCCTAGCTACTCAGGAGGCTGAGATCTGAGGATCACAGTTCAAAGCCAGCCCAGGCAGGGAAGTACGTGAGATTCTTATCACCAATATACCACCAGAAAACCAGAAGTGATGCTATGGCTCAAGTGGTAGAGCACTAGCCTTGAGCTGAAGAGCTGAGGGACAGCACCCAAGCCCAGAGGTCAAGCCCCACGACCTACCAAAAAAAAAATGTACTATGTGATTTTTTTTGTTTGTTTCTGTTGTATGTTCTTCCCCCATGGTATAATCCCTATTTTCACTGTATTTGATTCTGGTGCCCTGCATCTTGTATATACATTTTTTATAATTTAGGAAGTGGAAGGGAAATAACGAAAAGCTGAAATAAGGATACAAGTTGACCCATTGTAACAATGAGATTTATAAGACACCATGTTGAAAATTTTTGGGGGGGATGGGAGAAGTTGGGAAGATGGGGAGGGAAGGGTTGGTAGGGGAAAAACAAAGGAAGGGGTAACAATGTTTGAGAGGAAATGTACTCATTACCTTACTCATGTAACTGTAACCTCTCTGTACAGTATCTTTACAATAAAAATATATATTAAAAAAGAAAAAAATCCCAACAATGCAAAAGAAAAATTAATAATTTGAAACAAATTTTGAACTTCACCTTTCCTTGAGAGGCTCAAGTTCCTTCTAGAAGAGAGTTGTCATGTTAGTAGTCAGAGTACTCAAGACAAAAATAAGGAAAGGATAGCATGGCAACAAAAATGTAAATATATATTTTTTATATTTACACACACACACACATATGAGAGAGACAGAAAAGGCAAAGACAGACAGATAGATTCAGGAACATAAAGATGGTGCAAAAGAAGATCCAAAAAGAAAAGCAATATCAAAGTGATAAAGAATATGACAGAAGAAAAGCTTGTGCAATATGCAGAGAATTTAAAGGCTTAAGAATAATATATACTTTCTCATAACCAACACAGATCTCTCATAAGCCATCAGTGAAGTTGTATGACTGACAGAGTGTATTATTTGAGAGAAACCTAGATCACATCATATTATACAGTATGTCCTATCAAATACATACTCCAATTTTGCATCTAAGTTGTACAGTTCATGGAATATCTCCTATTCATAGGAAAAGGTCCTTAAACCAGTGGAAACTTTTGGTGGTGTTAGCATGAGATAAATATCAGGATATTATCCCTATTAAAAATTTCAAAACACAAACTATGATATAACCATAAAGAAAGTGTTGATGTAGATGAACACCCAATAAAAAAGAGGGAGACAAGGTAGAAAGTCTGCATTTACAAGAGAAGTTACATTTGTCAGGACATTTTTCTTTATTCAGAAAGTCATATTAGAAGAGATTTTTATTGGGGTATAATCCTTTCTATAATGAATTTGAGTATCTATTGACCATGACATACCTAACCTAGGCATAGAAAACCTGTGGAACAAACTCTTCATGCAGAAAAATGTGTAGTTCCTTAAGAATTGTTACTACATCTCCCACAATCCAAAGAGAGGATTCTGAATCATAGGAGGGAGAATAGCGACATTGTCCTTCCAATCTCTGCTGCTGCTTAAGCATTTCATTTGGTTTCTTTACTGCGATCTCATTTTAATCACATCTGTCCAATGGTAGACTCCTATGCTATGATGGAAATTTTCCTTGTACAATGTGTAGCCAAGTCAAGGGTGAGCTGGTTCTCTATGCTGTCTGCCAGTTTCTACCTGGATTTTCCCCTACTCACTACCTATACTCATACCTGAGATCTCAGGATGCTTCAACAAGAGCAAAAGTCCATATGTCATCGTGGTACTCGTTGTCTCTGTTCCTGCACTAAACACATCCCAACAAGTGGTGATCAGGTTGTCCATGGTAAATTCAGACTGTTTGTTGTGTTTTTCCTAACAGTGATGAGTGAGAATTACTTGGTTAAAAGAGGTGTTTGAAACATCATAAAGTGCTTTTAGAGAACACAAGCATTTGCTAAATTAATCAGAGATAAGTGCATTATAGCTGAAGGTAATATATATATATATATATATAATTATATATATATATATGGATCCCTCCAAATTATTAATATGTAGCGTTACCAACTTCCAAGTCTTTTCTAAATCTGTACTTTCACCTTTACTAAAGAAAATCAGTTCCTTTGTCATTTATTTCAAACATAAACTGTTTCAAATTGTTCATTGCTACTCCATGCTAGTTGTAGAATGTGTTGTCTATTTTAACAAGTCTATATTTCCCATCCAAGCCTTCCTTCCTACATACTCCCAAGATGTATCGCTTCCCAAACTCCTTTGTCATGACAATCATTACCATTCCTCAATTACAGGAAAGATAACCTTCTCAATCTTTCCACACATGTGGTTACCATATACATGTACCATTCCTTGGCTTTCTTTCATGCTCCTTATCAAATCCCCAAAACCTATCTCAACTGTGAAGACTCTCAAGATTCCTACCCATTCTTGTATTCTCCTGGCCTGTAAGATCTTCCACTCATGTGGGTTATTTTATGTAGTATGGCCTCTTACCTTCAATCTTTATAGGTGTGTTTTGTATTCCAATATACCTTCAAATATGAAACATTTCTAAAATGATAAATATATAACTTCCAAAAACTTATTTCCCAATGAGAATTTTAAAATACTCCAAGACACTCAATATGATTTTCAGAAAACAATGTTACACAAGCAAAGAGTATATCTTTAGGAAGGTAATGTTATTCTCCTAAGGAGATCAAAGGTAATCTATGAATCACATAACTCAGAAACATGAAGTTGAAAATCAAGGTCATGTTATACCTTTTCCATTTGAATCAGAAAATAGTCGATAAAGTCCTGAGGATTACTGGGGTCCAGAGCTTCTTTATGTTCTTTTACTTTCCCCAAAATAATATTTTTTTGGTGAGCAATGTTTTTAAAGAGCTTGTTATGACTTCCTGGGAGATAAAGTAAAGCAGGGAAAGCATTGCAGAGCTGAAAGAGCAAGGAGTACTCATTAACACACTGTGAGCATTCACACTCACTGCATGCCAGCACTTTGCTAAATGCTAAATAAAGATGAATAAAACATGCCTCCTACAATACAATGCAGTAGGGGTAAAATTCTTCTTGTAATGAAGAAACACTACATCACAAAAATTAAGAAACTTCCCAACACACACAGTATATCTGAGTTCAGGAACTTATTGCTCTGCAGATTGTGCACATTTACCTAACTGGTCTGGTCTTTGCTGGTCCCAGGATTCACAGACCCTGTTTTCCTCCCTCTAACTCTCAGAATCCAACTACTAGCTTTTGAGTAATGAGCAAGTACCCTTGGGTGCAGGAGCAATGTCACATTTAAATGAAAATAAACCTTACTTGTACCCAGGAAGTACTTAAAATTCTGAGGTTATCATGAAAACTTTCGATCAATGCATGAAGTTTCTGATCACTGTAGTCAAAATGGTTCTGAAACATGATGGAAGAGATCACATTGAGGGGACACAGGCCAGAAGGAAGCTAGGATCACAAGGCAATCCTAAAAGTAGCAGAAGTTAGTAATTAATACACAATTCTCACATCTACCTCACACTCACTACCAAGACAGGTCATTGCCACTATGTAATCCACAGGCACAAATGACTGTTGCTCATGTTTCCCCAAACAAACGTGCCTGGTGAACCCCAGCTTACTTGTTAATTCTGTCCTCATATTCTCTTCTTTTCATTATTTCCCAAAGAGAAATTCATTTAGAGATCATGTAATTTTTCTACTTAAACATGTGCATTTATGTCTCAGTGTGGTTACTACTAAGTGGCACCCATAAAAAACAAGTTCAACAAGAAATATACTCACTACCTTAAGTATGTAACTGTAACCCTTCTGTACATGACCTTGACAATAAAATTAATTTTTAAAAAAAATCAAGAGATTGCTGTGCACCTGTGGCTCACACCTATAATCGTAGCTAATCAGGAGGCTGAGATGTGAAGATTACAGTTAAAAGCCTGCCCAGACAGGAAAGTCCATGAGAATCATATCTCTGAGATTCTTATCTACAATTTACCACCAAAGAAAGAAAGAAAGAGAGAGAGAGAAAGAAGTGGAACTATGGTGGTAGAGTACTAGCCTTGAGCAAAAAAAAAAACAAAAAAACAAAGCTTAGGAACCTCTCCCAGGCCCTGAGTTCAAGCCCCAAGATTGGCACAAAAAGGAAAAAAAAATCAAGAGATTGAGGTAACTTGTAATTGTGTTTAATAAAACAGAGTTGAGATTATCAAATGTGCTTTTCTTGTAGAAAAATACACAAAGTGGAGTTATATCCAGTTATGTGAAAAAATGTGTTTTGGAAGCCTCCTTCCTTCCTTCCTTTTTTTTTCTTTTTTGTCACACTCTTATTCCTTGAGCCACACCTCCAGCCAGAAGCATACTTCCTAGTGTCATAAAGAACATGACTATTTTAGATTTTAACTGCTAACAGCTTTAAAGCCTCATCCTCCCTTACTCTTACTCTTCTCTTCACATCTGGACGAGTATATCAAAAGCCTCAATGATCCCTCCTTTAACACTAACATGAAGTAGAAACTACGCAATCCCTGGTCCACACAAGGAGTCCTAGCCCCGCTTCTTTACCACTGTGGAAACTCAAGCCTGGAAACTTTCCTTGCTCTTTCACTACATTCTCAGATGTTTCTGTAGTGACACTGCTCTCTTGAAAGTATTATGGTGTGAGTTATAAGACTTTTCATATCCTATTGTTTTGTGGGTGGCATCCAAACCCTGCCTCTGCATAGTAACAACCATAACACTCTGAAAAAACTCGCTGGTTTAAAATGGGTAAGTTAAAAGGGCAAACAGTTCCCAAGCCCAGAGTTCAAGCCCCACAACTGACCAAATAAAAAAGGGGGAGGGGGAGCAAACAGTTCTGCTCAACCTGTGAAAGCAACTTCCAGGAGTATGCGATAAAGCAGAAGTAGAAAGAAATTCATACTCACTATGAGAATCAGAACCAGGTAAGAGTAAACTTCTATTTAATATACAAATAAAGTACACAATCATTTCTCATATAATATCTATTAAAACCCAATACTTGGTCTCTTCTTCTGCTAACCCACAGAGATGAACCTTGCATGAAAGAATAATAATGAAGAAAACAAAGGCCTATATTAACTTGGCCTATATCAAAAGCTTATTGCTGGGCTGGGATGTAGCTCAGTGGCAAAGCGCTTGCCTAGCAAGTGCAACGTCCTGGGTTCGATCCCCAGTACCAAAAAAGAAAAGACAAAAAAAATTGATTAAAAAAATAAAATAAATAAAAATTAAATTAAATTAAAAATAAATAAAAAAATAAAAAAGCTTATTTCTTCCTGAAAGTATGTTATATTTTATGTCTCACTAGTTAAGTGAGGAAAAAGTAAACGTCAGTAGCACTTGAGACTCCATAAACTTTTCTTACACTGTTTCTAAAAATATCATGTCTATCCTAAGAATTATTCTTAATAATTAAGTAAATATGTACCATTTGTTTTTTTAATACTTCCACCAGACACAAAGCTTCCTCTTGAATTTTGTCTTCAATAGTTTTCTTCCCCATCCCCATATTCCTCAAAACTATGAGGGAGAAACGTCAGGTTTGCTTCCATCTTTCCCCACTGCTGAAAACAATTCCTATAGGAAGAAAAAAGCACAGAACAGCATCCTCTATCATAGTGAATTCTAGTTAGACTTTTCATCTCATGAAATGCTGACAACACTTAAGTAGATTTATAAAGCCATAACTATATCATCTTGAGCTCCACTTTACCTGCCACTTCTTCTAACTGAATCTATTTTACTATTGGGACTCTTGACTTGACACACTACTTAGTTCTTCATAGGTTAGTTCTTCAAATCCTCAGCATAGTTCTGTAAACCAAGTATTTTGTTGCAGTTTTACCAACAAGGACATTGAATATCATAAAAGCAAAATGCTAGCTCTATGACAACACAGCTAATAAATCATGGTGAACACAAGTCATACGTAAATTTCTTGTTTCTGATTGCAAGTGAACCTTAGGAGGTTCATCAAGAGAAGGAAATTCTCAAAAGGTCAGACAACTCTTCTACAGTAGAAGGAATCACAATGACAGTGTATTCCTCAGAAAAGAGGCCAACATTGGCAGAGAATAATTCACATTTAAACATTTTCCCTCTGTTTTATCTCTCCTACTTAATGTGGTCATAGGACCAATGAAGGTCAATGTCAGACCTCCAAAGTCAAGACAAGATCTAGAGGGACAGACAGACAAAGGGCACACATTCGCTCACACATGTGGAAGTTAGATCTAAATTATAAGCATACATGAAAACATATACAGGATCATGTATATATATATACACACATAAGTAAACTGACTAAAGTATGTTACATGCAGGGAAGTATTCCAAGGGTGTAACTCCTTTGAACAACTTACAGTTTAACAAAATGAATACCAGGAAGTTGAAATGTTATTTTTGAGGTGGGGGGGAACAAGGAATGTATTCTCCAAATGCTGTAGTTTCTCAATTTCTTTGCCTAACCGAATTATTTACAACTTGCCATCTGATTAACGTTCTCCCCAGTAAAGAAACATACCCAATCCTTGGATGGCTTTATCCATCACTGGGAAACTCCCTCTACCACCAAACTCTTCTGCACGATCAATCAGAGCTTCCTTCACTGCTTTGTATCCATACAACACCACAGTGGGCCTCATGCCCAAATATACAGTGAACACAGGGCCATACTTTTTTGCTAGCTGGGAAAGGATCACAAGTACAAGAAAAGTGCAGATTGTAATTGCTTTATGTAAATAACAGAAATATTTATAATCCTTCTGAAGAATCATTTTAATATTCATTTACCCATTATAATAAAAGGAGCAATTTAATAGAAAATTACATTGAGTGGTAATGATGCTGTATCATTAATAACATTGCCATTATTATTTTTGTTATTTCATTAACTTTTCCTGCCAAAAGTATAATCACTTCAAATTTCTCCTTTGTATCTATCTGTACTTAAAAGATGTTTTCCTCTTCTTTTTTAAAGGAAGAACCTCCCACGTACGCCGTCCTCATTATCCACCCTTCTTAACACTCTAAGTTTCAGAAACACATGACAACTTGGTAGCCTGGTCATAGCACATGCCCAATCTCTGCGCTTTACATTTTATAATAACCAGAAGCTTTTAAATATTAAGATCATCTGCACGCACCTAGGATAGTACTTGATACAAAGGACACATTTTTAGGTACTGTCAAGTATGCCACAATCAATAGCCTTTGAAAGACATCACTGTTTACATCTTAATGACATGGAATTCACAGCTCACAGATTTTAAAAATTCCCCAAGCTGAGAATTAACAAATGAAGAAGCTGAGAGTTCAAAGCACAGGAAGGATCTTCTAGAAGCAGTGCTCTGGTAATTAGCTATCTCAGGGAAAACTCAGTTTTCTGACCATTCATTCCATCAGGATTCAGAGAGCTACTGCTGTGTAAATTGACCCATTCAATCAGTAAATATAATAGAAACTGTCAACATGGTTATATCAAATCAGTGTCTTCTTCAGGAAATTTTAGTGCTGTGGTCTTGTTACAACATAGAGTTCTTTCCAGCTGTAGATTTCTTAAGCCATACCTTAGTGACCAAAGAGCCTATCTCTTTAAAACACACTTCCTGGGACCCTATTTTACTTAGCGTTAAGACTAATATGGTTCACTTATTGCAATCAACTAAAAGAAAAAAATTAATCATGCTTACGATGCTTAAGGACTTGACAATATTCTTAGTATTTAACTGTAGAATATTTCCAATAATTGGGAGCGGGGTGGGGCCAGGTGGGAGCTTCCCTTTGACGCTGTTTCCCTTCCATAGAGAAAGAAGAACCAAAGAAAGACCAAGCCCCAAGAGGATAAGGAGATCAGTTGACAAACTTTGTGTAAGTGCAATTGAAAGTTTAGATCCCAAGGCTTCTATGAATAATGCACACATGGTTTACCGAAGTACAAAGCCTTCAAACTTTGGGTAAACTCTGCTTATCTTCAGTTCACTTTGGCCTGCTGGTAGAAATCAAAGCAAAGGTAATGTTTTTCTCAGCGATAATCCCTCTCTTAATTATCTAAGTAAAACCGAAGTCTGCCTTCTTCGGTGGTAGTTATGGTCAGAAGGGCCATACTTCCCCAATAAAGTTGTAAACTCTTACATTTCCAACAGGATACCTGCATGATTTGGGTGAATGATTAAAAAGAATGTCCCTGTGTCAAAATTTACCATCATACCATAAAGAAAGAAGCATTCTCCTAGTGCTTTTCCCTAAAGATAAAAGGGAAAAGTCCAGAGCAGGTATTTGGGGGCTAGGAAACCAGTCTTGTCTTCCAGCATATCAGAGATGCCTTAATTCTCTCAGCAGAGCCTCTATTGCATCTGGTAGAAATGAAGCCACTCCACAGAGCAATGTGTGGTTAATCGTCAATTGCGAGGGATCTGTCACATCAAGGAGAGGAACTGCTCACACACGCAGCAGAGGAAAGCCCCTGGACGCATCCCTCACTGTCTTCCTTGCACACCCACTTCTCACAAGGGGGGTCCTGTAGTCCCAGCCGGCGTTCACTGCTCTGCCATGGGGCAGAAACGTCCTCCAGCAAGGGCATTACAAATGTTTGAAGGTGTGTAGAGGCCAATGGGGAAAAAAACTTCAAGACTCAAAAGACAAGGCGAGACCCAAGATGGCTGAGCAGTTACTCCATGCTCTTCGGGCAACTCTGGCACAGAGAAGAGTCAGCGCATTAAAGAAAAAACTGTTTTGAGGAGAGTAGAATTCACGGGGATTCTAGACAGTACAGGGAAACAGAGAGGCAGCCTAGAGAAGAAAGAAAAACCACACACAGCTTCGAGTCCGACATAGGCCAACCAGTGCCTGGCTACAGACCCTCGAACTCAATCCTCCAACAGCTACTGACTGAGGACATCCAGGCGTCCGGCGGCAGCTGGACCTGCGGGCAAGCCCGGGGCTGGAGCGCACCTCCGGCGGCGGAGGACCGCCCCGCCTCTCAGCAGCCCTCCGCCTCGGGACCAGCGCTGCGTCTTTCTGCGGGAACTGGGGAGCATCTTCCTTCCCCCGCACCCCGCCTCCAGAGCACAACACTGAGACTGCAGCCCCTGCTGAACAACCGGGGTCCGTGCACCCTGGACAGGGGGAAGCATGGAGAGAACCCTGCAGCTTTCTGAACGCAGCCTCCAGTCGCCCCAGCCCCCAGGGCAAACACCTGCCCTCCCCTGGCCAGATCCAGGCAAAGCCCCCTGCCCGGCTCACAGCCTGGGGCTCAGCCCTCCATTGTAACATTCACACACACACCCCACCTCCAGTCACCCCCCAGCCGGGTGCATCTGAAGCCGAGGAAAAAAAAAAAACCTCCCAGCTTCCAAGGGCTCCAGGCCTGGCTTAACCCCTGCGCTCACCCAGGGCGAGCAGCTCACGGTTTTCCCGGCTCACCAGCTCCTGTGCACCCGCAGCTGAGAAATCCCCCAGCAACCACCCAGCAACTCCAGGAAAGTTGTTGCCTGTGGCCCTCCCCCCTCCCCCCTTCTCCCTCCCCCCCTTCACACACACACACACACACACACACACACACACACACAGGACTGTGCTCACTCCAGCCGGGGCCTTCCCTCCATAATCCACACAAAGTCTCTTCTCAGCCTGGGGACTGTGGTTACCATGACAAAACCCGGATTCACCAACTTGGAAACACTCCCTTGAGCTGAGCCATGCCTCCATGGGAATGCAGCTGCTGGTGACCCCAGGCCCCCCAAACATTTGCATGTGCTGGCAGGCCTTAGGGTAGTTCTCCATCCAGGCCAAAGGTGCAAACGCCTCAGCTTCATTCCGGCTTGTCGCTGGAGCCTGTCTCTGTGCTCCAACTCGGGGACTGTCACTCCCAGTGTCACCAGCCTGGTCCCCACCAGCGCTTTCCACCTACGATCCAGGGATACCCCCGACTCAACTAGGATCCCAGAGACCAAACCCACAAGCCCCAGCACCCCAAGTGCTCAATACATACAGCTTCGCAAGGGGCTGTCTCGTGTCCTGCACCTCAAGGGGTGTGGACCTCAAGACCTTGCGTGGGGAACGCGGCCCAAGGACTCTAGAAAATAGCTGCTCACGCAAAACCATGTTAGCACATAAGGTTACCTGAAGAAGGCTGCAGACCATCTCACGGTTCCACTAAACCTGTTCACAGAGCTACAAACCCCAGTACTATTTGTAGCCACCCATGAACCTGGAGAACCACACACTTCGGACCCGAAACCTGAGGTCTCCGATTCCAGTGCATAGCACGATGACAGCACCATCTAGGCTTTTATTAGGTGGGGCCTGAAAAAGATCCCGTACTGACCTGCTGCTCCACAAGTATAAATGCTGATGCCTCGGCTGTGTCTCCCGTGATCATCACAAGAGTCCTGGGAAAGGGCTTTGGGCCACCCAGGACACACCGTGACTCAGGAAACACAGCCCCCACCATCACCTTCCTTACCAGAGGGCTCTGGAGAAAATCCTCCTCACATCACTGCTGCCTCACGCCCCACTGTCATCCGAGTTCAAATTCAAAGACACGGATCAGCAACTCAAAATAAATTCTCTTCACACTGGGTGATTATTAAAAAAAATGCTAATGGAGAATTATAGACCCAGTAGAGGGCAGAATCTACTTTCTAGATGCCCTTTTCTAGCTTCTGAGAAGGATGTTGCTCAGATTTCTCAACACAAACAAAGCCAGCATATAAGATAAGGCTTATTATGGGGATAAGTTCAAGAGTTGTAGAGGCTGGAAAATCAGCAAGATGCCATTTGCAAGCTTGAGAACCAGGAAATCAATGGTGTCAGTTTCTGTCCATGGTTGAAAGCCTGAAAAGAGGAGAAGAGTCGCCTAGTAATGTAAGTTCAGACTAGAAAGTTTTAAAGTGAGGGGTGTGTATATGGTGTGTGTGTGTGTGTGTGTGTGTGTGTGTGTGTGTATGTGTTGGCAGGATCTAACCACAAGGCTTCATACACAAAAGGCAAACAAACTATGGCTGAATGATTTCCCTAGTCCCAGTGTGAATTAAACAATACAAAACAAAACAAAAAAGGCCAGGGAAATAGGAACTCCAATGTCCAAGAGCAAGAGAAGATAGATGGGTCCTAGAACCCTAGAGCCCAGTGGATTCAATGGTGTGTATTCACATGGTGATAGTCGATTTTCTGTACTTAGTCTTCTGATTCAAATGCTAATTTCACCTAGAAATACCTTCCTGGATATACCAAGAAATAATGTTCCACCAGATAAATGGTGGAATATTATGACTTATGAAATAAACCATCACAGTACAGAGGTAACATGAATAACGACTTGTTAGTAGTAGATTTAAGCAAATGACACATGCATTCTTCACTTCCATTTTCTTTACTAACCACATCAAACTCCTCACACTAGAAATACCACTGTATCTAGAGTCCACAGATAAAACCTGATCAACCTGATAGTGGATTTGGATCTCGGCTGAATAAAACCAAAACACTAGTCTTTACCTACTTCTCCTAAAATGCTCAATTTATTTTTTATTTTTGAATGAAGGATAGTATTTGTACATATTTCTCTGGCGCAATGTGATGTTTTGTTTCATTGTGTGGTGAGCAACTCAGCAATTAGCGCCTCACTATAAAGTTCCGCTGTCCTCTGTGGTGAGTACACCCCAAATCCTGTCTTCCAGCAATATTCATGTAAACAACCCACTAGGTTGATTATGCCCCTGCAGGGCCATAGAACAACAGAAATGATTCTTCCTGCCAGTCATTGTATCCTCAGCCCATACCCCATCCTTCCTGCTCTTCTTAGTCTCTAGTAACTACTATTCTATTTTCAATTTTTACTATTGATCTTCTGTGAAATCAATTTTTTTAGGTTTTACTTATACATGAATTTACCACATATGAGAATTTATGCACCTGGTTTATCCCATTTAATAAGATGTCCTCCAGGTCTGTCCATGTTGAAAAGGATAGATAGCACACTTTCCTGGGAGAACAGAATCCCATTGTGTATATATGCCTGTTGGGAGCCAAAAGTTAAGTCTCTCAAACTTGATAGGCTTGACTATCTCACTGGAACATCAGGAGGCTGTTCACAGAATCCGGTCTTTTCATCCTGCCCCATACAAATACCGGTAGCTGCTAACAACCACCTTTTCACCCCCCCAGTAGCTGCTAATGACCACCTTTTCACCCCCATACAAACACCCGGGAGCTGCTAACAACCACCTTTTCACTGCCCTAAGCAAGCATCCTGCAGCTGCTACGCCCAATGAAAAAGCTTCCTTATTCTAAGCATATAAATATCCCTGTGTGAAAAATAAAATTTGGCAGCTTGATCAGAATCCTTGTCTTGCTGTCCTTCTTTGTGTCTCTTGTCCCTTCATTCCTTCTCGTTTAGGTTCATTGCCCTCGTTGAAGTCCTGCGGGT